AAAAAAAAAAAAAAAGCAAAGGTAAAGATAAGGAGGATGTAAATTATGAGAGGAGATAAGGATTTTCCTCCCAAGATATACTGAGTTGACAGCTCCTTCCTAACCTCCCAGCAGGACTTGAAAAAACTTAGAAATGCAGAGTAAAGGGTTTCCTTTCCTTTGTACTTGACTTTCTTTAAACTAGCTAAATGATTAATTTTCTTTAGACCCTAAACCCACAAGCCACCTGTTTAAAACAACTCTGCTTTTGTATACAAGGCCAAAACAAGGAGGACACACTGGCAATTCCATTTCTGGATCCCAACATGGTGGGGATCCAGCAGGAGCTTTGGTCTTATTTCCAATATACACTCTTCTAACTTCCTACTTTTTGTCTGTGATTTTCTTCCTCAATTCAGGGAGACAAAGAGCTCAGGTTTGTACAAAATTAACTGTTTCGAGAGCAATTTAAAGTTACAAGAGATTTTAGAGATTATGTAGTCAAACTGTTTATAAACAGACCATGAGAAATTAAGAAATTTGTCTTGAATTACAGATATTTAAAGGTACTGCTGGAATTATAATCCTAAAATGTAACCTCATTTTCAATTATATTTTAAGTGGAAACTAGCACAGTATTTTAGCCACCAATCTCTTAGAAACATGGCATAAAAGAAAAAAAACAACAACAAAATAAAACAGGAATAAAAATATCAGGATGCAAATCCTTTCCCTGCTATTTCTCTGGGTAGTTTCAGTATTTAAAAATGTTTTTTATGTTTTGGTATCAGGCATAAAACTCAGGACCTTGCACTTGCAAGGCAGGTGGCGCGGCACCACTGAGCTAAGTCCCTGGCCCAGTTTCAGCATTATTTTTAACTTTTCTTAATTCTCAATCTCCTTATCCATAAAATGGATTGATATCATGTATCTCCTTATGAAAGGTGAAAGCTTCTTTAATCTACAATATAAAGTTTTTGTAATCATGTGAGATTATGTATGTATCTAGCATAGTCACACGTTCAATTTAGGTTGCTAAGATGTTGGATTCAAATTTGAATTTCGAAAGTGCTTACCTCACATTTATGAGGCCATAAGCTCAATCCCCAACACTAAAATAAACTGGATTTGAAGAATTTTATCTTCAGCTTTTCCTTATACTACCCAGATAAAATCCCATTTGCCCTTTCATTCTTCCTGTGTTATCACAGATTTCATTATGAAGTAACTCTATGAAGCAGCAGCAAACAAAGGAAGTCTTTACTCCAAGTTCCCTTCATGAACTGCAAGACTTACAACATTTCAGGCTTCAAATATGTTATTTTTATAAATATAAAAATGTAAATAAATATGAACCATTCTCCTGAGAAAGTAGAAAATCTAAAAATTAGCCAAAATGTAAAAACAGTATGGCTCCGTGCCTCCTAAAATATAAGACCTTTAGATTCTAAGAGTCTGATATGGTCTGTTATAGAAATTGTAGGTATGTTTAGCGCCTTTCTTTTGATTTAGTAAAATGCAAAAACAAATATTTAAACATGTAGTATGTGTAAAGCTCCACACTGGCACTAAGGATATGAATCTATGTAAGATACTTAATTACCTGTCTTTGAAGACCTCAAATTCAAACGAAGTGTGCTCTAAAGGAACTATTAAAAGAGTTAATTCTACCTCGAAGACTCAAGAGCTCTAAAGAGGACAGATATCAGTAGGTTCTTTAGACAGGATAGGACTTATCTGTTAAGGCTTTTTTAAAAATTGGTTTATTGGTAAAACTATAGCACATATAGTAAGAACTATGAATATATAAACATTTGCCAATTGTTCTTTAATCAGATACAAATAATCTTACAACCAAGTTTGTACATAAATATACTATCCTGAAATACACCAAAGATTCTTCCAGGAAAACTGATAAAGCTGAGTGATTACCAGCAGTGTGCTTCCTTGGGGTAGTACGGATGGAGTATTCGAAGTCAGGCACGGCTTTGTAACTCAGATGAAGATGGTAATTTCTTGCTTCATCCAACAAATCTCTGCACTTTAGGTTTTGCTTGACAATCTGTTCTTTTGCCACTACACCCATAAGGAAATCAACTGGCAATAATGGCAGACGAACCTAAGATCATGAATAGTAGCAATGTCAAATGTAAATAGTAATGGAATAGTTTGCACTTCATTATTAGAGCAGTATGTTCTTTTATTTATTTATTTAAAATTGTTTTTTTGGTACCAGGGATCGAACTCCGGTCCTTGCACTTGCAAGGCAGGCGCCAGAACCACTGAGCTAAACCCCACCCCCTTATTCTTTTAAAATGTAATCTAGAGTGGCAGTGTAACTCAGTGGTAGAGACAGGGCTAGCATCTGCAGCCCTGGATTCCATGCCCAGCACTCACTGCAAAAACAAAACAAAACTACTACTATATGCACTTTAAAAATATCACTTTGAACAGGGTTACTTCTCTACCTATAAATATCTAAATTCACTAGTAATAAGCAGATTTGTTCTGAATTAAAACATTTTATAATGCTCTGAGAAATTATTAAAATTGGCATAACTATCAAGTTCCAAGTTTTAACAAAAAACATTTTATAATGCTCTGAGAAATTATTAAAATTGGCATAACTATCAAGTTCCAAGTTTTAACAAAAAACATTTTATAATGCTCTGAGAAATTATTAAAATTGGCATAACTATCAAGTTCCAAGTTTTAACAAAGTACTTAATTTTAAAAAATTAAGTAAATAAGAACAATCACCTTTTAAGTAGTATCATTTTCTCAAAATAAGTAAAGTGAGGGAGGGAAAGGAGGGAAGGGATAGGGAGCAGTGAGGGGAAGTAGAAGGAAAGAAAATAAAGGAAGAGACAAGACATAAACCCTAAAGTAACTATCTGTTAGCTCCCTGTCCAAGTAAACCACTAACAATTAAAATAATAATAAATACATTTGAGGCTAAAGCTAAACTGATGAGGGAATGACAGTATCTCAGAAAGTGATGCCTGATGTCTTATGGTTCCTTTCAGAATAAGTCTATATTCACTATAACTATTTTCATAAGCAAGATAATTTATTAAAATTTAGAAATTGCATTATGAAAATTATAAATATTACTTTTGATTAATTTTTATTAGCATAAATATAACATTCAGTACTACAATCTCAAGGGAATATTTTAAATCTTCAGGTTAAAAATCATTCAAATGTGGCAAATCCAGACTATCTTTTAAGAAGAAAACAAGGAAGAGAGTTACAGTCATTTTCATCATCATACACATCAGTGTTTTCTCTCCATCAAATAATGTGCGCTTTCCGAAATAAATTTAACATGCTGAGCTGCTTTCATGTGCTTTCACATCCACACACCCTCTCTCTGCAGCCCTACCTGCGCCAAAGTTTCATCCAGCCACTTGGAATGATGCTGGGGGTTGGCAAGAAGCCACTTGATGGCAGCGCTGTAGACCTGCTTTTCATTCTCAATGTGTAGATCACTGGAGGACAGAAGCTTGTGCAGGTGCTGGGGTGACACACTCACAAAGTCTTCACACTCCACAACCTCGGTGAAGTGTTCGCAAGCGTACTGATCAGCCATGTCCATGAGGTCTATCCGGTTGTGGCTTTCTGCAAAGGCCCTCACTGCTAGGCAGTTGGAAGGATGGAAATGAAGCTTCATGTATTCGCAGCAAGCTCTGGCCACCAGTTCAACCTGAAGAATGCAGGCCGCATACAAGAGAGGTTGGACGTTGTCCACAGTCAATGTTAGCCGTGAAGAGTAGACAAATTTCACCAGATCCTCTATTGCATCGCCATCAAAATCTCTAATCTCAATCACTGTTTGCTTGGCTTCTGCCATTTCAGAGAGAAACATGGCTCTAAAGTAGGGAATAACACAAGCCAATGCCAGCTTATGACAAGAGATGAGCTTTGAACCAACCTGTTCAAAACAACCAAGAACTGTATTTTAATAGAAAATCCGCTTCAGATCAGCACAGAGCTTATATTGCAAAAGGGACAAAATCTCCAGATATTTTAGAGTAATGCTTTAATAATGCAATCCTTTGGTAACTTACTTTCAATCTTAGCCAGTTTCTTTTTCCTTTTTCTTTTTTTTGCCTAGGAAGTTTAGTTTATCCCTCTAAACAATATTTTTCTTTGGAAAACAAGCCCCGTGGAGTTTCTGCCATCAAGTGGTTTCAGTTTAACACACTTACTTCTAGAAACCTGATGCAGAACTGAAACTACAGGGGAAAAGTTTTTAAAAAGCAGATCCTACACAATAAAAACTCAAGCTATTTTAACAAATATTCCTTTAAACACCAAGATATGTCAACACTTCAAAGCCAAAAGATTTGGTCTACTAGAGAATCTGGCTTGATAACTAAATACTTCAGATCTCACAAAGTAAACAGAAAGATGTTTTAGCAGACACTTCTCAACCTGTCAAACCAAGGTGAAAAAGTACTGCTCATCTGCTTTAGTTTGGCCAGTTTCTCAAACTCTGGCAACTTTTATCTTCCAATTGGCCACTTACATATACATATATTGTGAACTATGACTTTTCTATGTTACTTCATTTTTCAGGATCATTCTGTGAATGGAAATAATGGCATAAATCATTTCGCATTTATTATATGCCAGGCATTTTTAAAGTGTCTCTCATATACTCAATTAGCCCAACACCCCTAAAAGCAGATACTACTATTATTCACAATTTACCAATCAGAAAATTGAAACATTGGCCTAGGTTTTAGCTCAGCAGCATAGCACGGGCCTGGCAAGTGTGAGGTCCTGAGCTCGATCCCAGGTACAAAAAAAAAAGAAGAGTGAAACGCAAAGTAAATATCTAGTTGTATTAGGAGCTCAGCTGAGGTTTTTGTTTAAATTATACTGAGATGATATATTTATATAAAAGCAGTAAAAATAAAACACTGAAATCTCACCACCTTAATTGTTCAATCATTAGATTGTGTCCAACTGTGTGCCACTAGTAACACACAGTAGTGAACTTCTGTGTAACTGAATCTTATTCCACATTATTATTTCCCATAGACAAACTCCTATAAATAAAAATATCATCACAAAGGATAGGTCATACGGCCATGTGGTACCAAATTGCCCATTTCTGAGCTACTTTCTGCATTTGTGCCATACTAGGTGTTAACTTAAGAAACAGCTGCCAATTTGATGAATGAAAATATTATCTTTCTTATCTTTTACTAAGATTAAATTACTAATACACTTTAAGCTATTGTATTTCTCCTATGTACTATGGATTATTTCTTAGTTATTTGTATGAATACATACATTTAGTGTATTAGGCATTTGTTATATGTATATTTCAAGCTCATTTTTTAATAATTTGCTTCTAAATATTCTTTCTATAGATTTTTATATAATCAAATCAGTCTTACGTATGATCTCTTCCTTAGGTATCATGTTATTGTATGAAATGGGAATTTTAGTATTACATATTTATTTCATCTATTTCTTCTATTACTTTTATGCCCCCCTCCCCTTCTTCCCGGTGCTGGGGACTGAACCCAAGGTCCTCTGAATGCTGGGCAAGTGGTCCACCAGAGCAACATCCCTAGCCTCTCCCCCCCCCAACTAAATTTATTGATGCATTTAAAGTAAACAATACAGTTACATTTATCATTGGGATCTTGCACCTTTACATGATATATCTAGGTTCTTATTTTGTCCCCATAACCCTGCCCTCCTCCCTCACCCTTCCCTATTTACAAAGACTTTTTTTCAAATTTTTCCCCCTTATTTCCTTTCCTCTCCCCTTCCCACTTCCCCTTTAGTTATTTTCTTCCTATTTCACACTCTCAATTATACCATTTCAACCTTATTTACAATGTTAGTTTTTTACACCAGAGAAATGATTCGGTATTTACTCAAGTGTGCCCTATTTATTTCAATTAAGAGTATAGCCTCAATGTGCATCCACTGAGCTATGTTTTTAGTTTCTCATTCTTTATGTCTGAGTAGTACTCTGTTTTATAGAAAAACCACATCTTCTTTATCCAGCCTCTTTTTAATATAGTTGTTATCCAGTCTTCCTAGCACAGTCATAAATAATCAATTAAGAAGTAATAACGACAGCACTTTTAACAATTTTCCAATTAGTATTTTGATTATAATGTCAAGCTTATGTGTCAGTATTTGACAATTTTAGAATAAGATCTAAAGAGGCTTGAGGAACATTATAATGTAAAAGGATTTTGCTTACAAATGTCTCTCACCCAAGAATAAATATCACTTATTTCAACAAGTATACAATGATTATTCCTTTTCTATTTAATTTTTAAACACAATTCACCAGGCAGGAATTAGATTCTATTGAGACTAAGTTGTAACACAGACTACAACATAAAGCTTGACATGTTTTCAAGTTCACTTCAGCCCCAAAATGAAATCTGAAATTTGATACTAAGCAATTTTAAATCACCTAGAATATTCTTCTGAAAATTATCTGAACATGCCATCAATGGAATTCATTCTCAAGGAAAGTATTAGTAAATCTCTTATGACAAATCTATTCAATTACATAACTTGTCAAAACTCTATTATGGCCGGGCGTGGTGGCGCACGCTTGTAATCCCAGCGCTCAGGAGGCTGAGGCAAAAGGATTGCTGTGAGTTTGAGACCAACCTGGGCTACATAGTGAGTTCCAGTTCAGTCTCAGCTACACAGTGAGACACTGTCTCAAAAAACCAAAACCAACCAACCAACCAAAAAACAAAAACCTATTATTCGATAGTACTATACAGCAGGGCTCTGCAATTTTCAGAGAACCATTATTTTAACAGTGACTTCACAACAAATTATACAAGTTAATGGCCAAAAAGTTATTTTCATGTTGACTTATAGTCTACAACTGATTTCTTGATTCAAATAAGTTGAAATGTGACTATTATTTCTCAGACACACAGAATTCCATGTACCCTTTTAGAATATCCATTTTCAAGAATATCTGAGCCACATATATGAAAAATGAACATCCCAAAACTTGACTTTTTAATGTATGAATTCTTCCTTGATGTTACATAATTTCATTATCTTCTTTAAAATTTTATTTCTACATTTTTCCCTTTGGTATATCAAAAGAATTTTCAATTACCAAGAATATTTAATTGGAAAAGACTTAAAGTCTAAAGATAAAAAATACACAAACATGGTGCTTAAAACTGGATGAAAAATACACAAGCTACAAAATATTACACATTACTGTGTGATTTAAGTCACATATGTGTTCTTGACATGAATGAATTTTCTAATTTACATTTTTCTTCTAAGATCACTGAACACGAGTAAGATACTAAGGGAAAACCATCCCTTAAACTTTAGTAAAGTATGAATATCAACTTTAATAGAATGATTCCACTTTTTTTAAAAAAAGCTCAAAATACAAACTACTAACCAAAACCTTGAGTAATGTTTCATATCTTGGCCACTATAGATCAAAACACAACACTAGGGCCAGGGATTTAGCTCAATGGTTCCGCTGCCTGCCTTGCAAGTGCAAGCACCAGAGTTCGATCCCTGGTACAAAAAAAAAGCCAGACCAAACAAAACACAATACCAAGGCTTTTAGGTCAGTCACGTGCTTCGCTTTCACCAGACGATGCTATAGGGAGGAGAAGGGCATAGGGCAAAGTCCTTCAGTCCAAGTAGAAAAATTACATAACCAACTCAGCGGAGAGCTGTTTAAAAACAGTAAGTGATCTGCTGAATAATAAGGTTTTAAATAAACTAAAAATGACATAAAGAGAATACAAATTAACAAAAATCATTAACATTCATAAACTATATATGATTTACAGAATGAACCTATCTATTCACCAACTGTAAAGGTGACTTCGTTTTCCAAGGGTGATTACTCCTGACTTACACACATGCTCACCATATGTAATCCAGAAAGCACAAGGAAAGCACAAAGGAAAACACACCAATTTTCTGTGTAATTGAGATATTCCTTTTTCTTCTTTTTTGATACAGGGAATTGAATTCAGAGTCTCGAGGTTGCCAGGCAGGCACTGCATCACTGAGCTACATATCCAGCCCCAGATATTCCTTATGTGTGATCTTTTTCAAATTTCTGAAACCTTCTGTGTTCTCCTGCTTATTGATTGTATGTATGCTATTCTCTATAGCATATATGATGTTACCATCCTGATATTAGCCAGTAGATTGTTTTTAATTTTTCCATATTTTAAGTATAAACAGTATCTTAGGAGAGAGTGTTTTTTGGCATTTCAGAATATTTCCCCGAGGTAAAACCTGAAAAGCAAAACTAATGAGCCAAAAAATAAGCTTGTTACAGCTGAACACACATAACACCAGACTGCTGGCTAAAAACACTGAACCAATTTACATGCCTACCAACCATCTTTGGGAATACTCACCATCAAAATTTGAGAAGCAAAAAATACATGTTTTAAATAATTACTATGCTGACAAGTGAACGATTTTAATTTATTTAATTTTATTTCTTAGCTATCTAGTACTTTTCAGAAGTGTGGTCACTCTGAACTATTTTTTTGCACACTGGTTATTTTAACATTAGTTACTTTATTTCTAAGTAATAACTTTATACTCTAACAAAGATTGCTAAAATCATGTATGAAAATAAAACATTTTAAATTAAAGCAAACAAAAACTAAAGTATATCAGGTTGAAATGTCTTATTCTACTTAAAAGCAATTCACTCCAAGAGTTTAAGTACTACAATGAAATAAAAATGCAGAAAAACAGTCTAACAGAAATAAAGACAAAAAACAAACTTCTATCCAAATCTTTCATAAACTTTTGTATATTATATTCCAATGTGCACTTTAATCTTTTATAAATTTGCTCTTTTAACTCAAATAGCCACTTTTAAAAAATAATCCACTAATTTTAATCACTTGGGCCCAAAAAAGTGTGTTTTACTGCTCTAAAACAGAAGGCTTAGACAGATGTACTGTCCCAGACTCAAGATAACATCTTGATTTGTACTGAATTACCACATTAACAACAGAAAGCTGGTGTTCTACAATCTTCATTAACCTTATACTCTATCCATTTAAAATCCTACATAATTAAACAAAACAATTTAGAAAGCATTTGGGTGGTCAAATAAACAAGGATCTAGGAACACACACACACATTTACTACCTTCTAAGCAACATGAAAAAGATCGAAATACTAGCCGAACAGGCAAAAGTAAAGGCGATTATTTAACACAGAATGTCAAAGAATTTTTAACATAGAAATACACGATTACTTCCTCCATACCGTGTTCATTTTGTTAGGTTATACTTATACTAAGGTCTTCACGTCCTTCTGAATTCAAGTTAAAACTTAATCTCATGCTGGTGACAGAAGAGGTGGGGCCACTGGGGAAGTGATGACATGACAGCTCTGGAATGGGCAGTGTCACATCACAGGGCTGGAGGCAACAGATGAGGCCTTTCCATTCGTCTGCCACCTTTAAGGACAGGGTCCTTCCTGCTGGAGGATGTGGCAGCAAGATGCCCACCTCAGAGGCAGAGCACCCTTCACCAGACACCAAATCTGCAGTGCTTTGATCTTGAGCTTCCAGGCTATTCAACCATGAGAAATAAAAGTCTATGGTATTGTGTGACAGCACAAATACAGCAAGACTGCCTCCGTTCCCGCAGGAGTTAACTGTTACAATGGGATAATTTGAGCATTTCTACCTCTTGGGAAGTACACTCCCATAATACAACTCACAGATTGTTTTCCCACAGTCATTCAGAGCATTTATTCTTATCTGACCAGGTGGAAGTTTTGACAGCAAATAATCATGCCATTTAAAATCTTTTAAAAATGTATTAGATCCTACAAATATCTGCTTTTAAAAAATCACAGCAACAAACATTCTCAATAAAAGGAGCTAAACAGTATAAATGAGATATGCTTGGTGGACATGTCAAGAGTTGGCATAGGGGCAGTGCCCCCATTCATTGCACTACTGTCTTCAAGTAAAATTAACCACGATCTTTATAAGGAGAATGACATTTCTTCAAATTACCTAGTGTGTGAGTGAAGTAGCTTTGTGAATGCTTTTTCATTAATCAATAATGTGTAACCTAAACAATGAGTACCATGCAAAACCCTTTCAGGATAAGCCCCCCTATCCTTTCTTCCAAAAAACTGGTGCCTTAAATCTTGCCCTGGGGCTGGGGTACAGTTCAGTAGTAGAGAGTGCGCTTAGCATATATGAGTTCAAGCTCCAGTGTGCAAATAATAAAAAGTTTAAAGCAGAAGCTTTCCATAAATAATTTGAGCAATCACTAGATATATAATTTTAAAATATTTTCATTCTCCAGTAAGACAGCACAACTAGGTAAACCCAGCTACTCAGGAGGCTAAGGCAGGAGAATGACTTTAGCCCAGAACTTAAAGCCAGCCTGGGCAACAAAGTGAGACCCTGACTCAAAAAGAAAAGAAAAAACTTTTTTGACTAATGAGAATAATAATATCTAACAAGTTTTGTCTCTCTCTGTAATGACCTAAAGGTAATATATTATCTCCTACATAGTCTTTCCAATCACTTTTCAGACATAATTAATAGAGCTTTTCCTATGCTTCTGTAAAAATACCACAAAACTGCCACATAACTAAATTGTGTTAATGGGCCTACCTCTGGCTGACCTTCAACTTCCCTCAAGGCATATATGGTATGTGTCGTGAGCCGGCGACGCAGAGCACTGTCCAGCAGTGTCTCAAACCTGAAAGAGCAGCGGGGTGGAGATGGGGCAGAGAGAAAGGAAGGACGCCAAGACAAGAGTCTGATCAAGGCGACGTTTATTGCAGGCAGGCATCAGCCTTTTAAAGGAAAAGACCGAACTATTATGGGCTAGGATTACCATAGTAACCTCAACACCCGCTCCACGGGAACGAGGGTTCACACGGGAAAGAGAAAGCAGGCTCAAGAAAAACAAATTAACAACACTTGCAACTAATAATCATGATTCCCAAATAGGTGGAGGTACTTAACAAAATGGAGTTACAACACCTGACTCCTACAGATAACGTCAGATCTTTAACAGTAAGCACCTGACTCCTACAGATCTTTGGCTGTCCGAGTTTCTCCCGTGCAGGGTCAAAAACAAGTTTAACACGTGCAGTCCTTAAAAAGGAACAAATGTTATCTTTCAAAAAGCCAGTGGGCCATGGCTGGCTTCCCACAGGTATGCACATTGACCCATGCTCTCCACTTCCCAGGTAAGACCTTACTAAATCTTTTCTAAGCGGGCTTTTTATTTCTAAAATAGGTGTTAACTTCAGAATTTTTAAATGGGCTAATGGCCTTATATGTGAAAAATACAGCACATTTTATGATAACTGTGTCTCTAAAATATCTGCCCTAAAAGCAATAATAATAAAAGGAAATATACTAGTAAAAGGAGATGAGTTTACATTAAGAAATAATTTTCAAGGTAATATGAATCTAAAAAAGTACTGAACAGAGAGGATTACAAATTATTTACAATATTTGGTTTAATTCTTCTGTAATAGTTAAATTCTGAAAGTGGAAGAAATGTTCACTTAGAATTAAGAAACAGGGCCAGGGATTTAGCTCAGCGGTTCGGTGGCCTGCCTTGCAAGCGCAAAGACCCGAGTTCAATCTCTGGTACCAAAAAAAAATTTTTTTTTAAATGTATAAATATATATATATATAAAATTAAGAAACAAAGCCAAACAAAGCCAATAACAGACCTGCTAAAGGACTGAATTGCAATTTCTTCTTATTAAACAGGAACAGAATGCAGCACAGCAGAATTATCTGATACTCTTGGAGTAATTACAAGTATATATATAACAATCATAATAGGTGATATTATGTAATATATACCAATCAGTTCTAAGGGGATTATGTATGAAAATTCTCTTATACCTCACAAAAAATTACACATCATCCTAATTTTATAGTTCAGGAAATAAAAAAAACAGTCAAATCCTTAGTGGAGTGTTTCTTGTTCCCAAATGACTTCTGCTACTGCTTCAAATATATTATAGTTAGTCTCCACCTCAGATACTCCTCAGGTTTTTCATTTCAACCTACTGCTGACATTATCCAACTTCCCCTAAAATAGCTACACCTATATCTTTCATTTGAGAAAGTTTATATATTTTTAAGAGTGTTCTGAAATCCAATTTAAAAATCTGTAAAAATAGCAATATTCTATCTAAATGTTTTCCAAAGAATCACTGGTATGCTGAACTAACAATAATTTAAATTCAAGTAACCTATTTTATATTTCTTTTGCTTTTGCCAAAGACGGTATGGGTCAGTGAACTTCATACTAAGATTGAAAAGTAGAACAATGGCATTAGATTAAACATAGAGCTTAAATGTTCACCAATATATATATATATATAAATATATATATATAAACCAGGATAAATTTCACATGGGCCTAGAAGAATTACATAATGGTCTTCTTCTCAATACTCTGGGGCCTAGAAATACTTAGGAACACCATAAATTTCAGGAAGGAGAATACATCAGTTGTCCACAACAGAACACTACATTGCTGGACATTCTAGGCCTGAAACTCAAGCCCTGTGTCTTCAGTTTACTGATATTCATTGAAAGTCCTCCGATCTGGTTCTCCATTTATACCCTCAATTCATCACTAAGACACTGTGAGCTCTAAGAACTTGTGTCATCAGAAGCAGACCACAAAGTCGAAAAGATCTCCAAAAGTGGCAAATCACATGTGGAGAATGATGCATGGATGTACATGAAATCACCAAACAAAAACAAGTACCGTATAGTGATGAGACTAAGAAAACACTTTAATGTATGGGAAATCCTTAGAACATAGGCTGTCCACACTGCTCTATCCTCTTTAAGACTGTTTAGCAAGGCAACATCATCCTGGAGACCAAGGATAAAGCTCACTGAAGACTTTTCATTCAAGTCTCAACAGTCTACAGATATTCTTCAGGACAGCTCACATGTTTAACAGCTGTTTGGACTAACGAACCAGGTGCACTGTTCAGACTTAGAACCCATTTTTTGTTTTTGGTTCAGGTCTATAAATCTTGTTAATAGACCCTCAATGTCTTCTTTTGAACAGTATACCTTGATTATACAGTACTGTAATTTTTGCTAATTGTATTGGATAGTACTGTAGTTTTGTTGTTATATATTGTAGCACTAAATGTAAGAGTTATGCAGTAAAAGCAAAATCAAACTGGAATATCCTTTGGCCATTTCTTTGTTCTGAATACTGTAGTACACATGCTATATACAATTCCTCATTTAAGGACCAATTGATTTATCGACCTAGTAGTCACAGGAACAAAGCATAAATGAGGAATATCTGTATTTCATTATCAGACAAAGAATTTAAAAATCTCACTTAACAGATGATAACAATGAAGTGGAGGTTAAACTACCAGAATAGTGATGTTCAGTAAAACAGTAGTATAGCTGTAACCAAAAATTCTTGACTTTTACTCAAGTAAAAATCAAGATTTTTTAATCCACAAGTTGAAAGATTGCATAGTAAACATTAACTTATTAATAGTTTGTTGTTCTAGGGTTCCAGAACTCTCAGAAACTAAATGAACTAAGAGTTAATCAATAGCAACATCAAACTAGCAATTATTTTATGTTAATCATTCTTCATTTACCCTACCTTTCATTCCTTCCCTTTCAATGAGACAGATTAAAATCATTCTAACCCTAAAGCATAAGTATAGCACCAAAATATTGACATGTGTGATTACAGAAAATGTCATTGTTTCACAATCCACTGAGGGGGCTCAGGAAAGTAAGAAAGGAGGTCTCACCTTTAGTGTGACATCACAGAGTTCTCCATTTTCATAAAATCGAAGAAGAGAGCTGTGGAAATCTTTCCAGGCTTCATTTGCTTCAAAGATAAAGGAGTCTTCTCTGTCACAGTCACTCACTGAAGATCTGTTCTTTATTGGCTGGTGCTGCTGCCTTTTCCCCTTTGGGAAGTGATTCCGAGCTGGTTTCCCAGTCACTGATTCTGAAGCCATTTGTAAAACTCTTCTTTTAATTTAGCTCTCTTCTCAAACACCCCATTTATTCTTTGTTAAAGTTGGGAAGACAGAAGGCAGAAGCCACTAATCTTCAGTTTTCAAAATACACTCAACCGCCACTGTCCAATTTGCTGAGACTGAAAAACACAAAGCACACATAAAGACAAAGCAAAAGAAAAAAATATCATTAATAACTATACTTCAACAATGCTATTTATGTAAAATAACCATATCAAGCATTATTGGAAAAATAACTCAACTTTAAGCTCAACATCACATAATTCAGTTCATCTAACTACTTCGTATCAGCAAAAAGAATTTGTTTAAAGTTCAATCTGAGAACAATTCAAAAGCATGTGGCCCAGCCAGTGTGGCGGCTCGTACATGCCTGTAATTCCTGCACTCCAGAGACTGAGCTACAAGATTAAATTTGAGGCCAGCCTGGGAAACTTAGAGTCACCTGCTCAAAAAGCACATGATTTTGAAAAATGGGATGCACTATCTTCAGAAAGAGAGGCTATGGACTACTAATTTTAAGTTTACAAACTTTATTCAGTGATGCAAAGAAAAAACTTAAAGGTTATTATGATGGAATTAGGTTTGTACAAGATTCTAAGATCAGAGCATGGTTCCATCATTTACCAGCCATGTGACCCTGGGCAAATGATAACCTCCTAAACCTCAGGCATCTCTGCTGTGAGATGGAGATACCACTTATAGGGGTATTCTAAGAATCAGTGATACTGTACAACCAGGTATAGGACTATGGCACTGCAATATGAAGACCTCATTTTATTTGCATGTTTACATAAAATTTACTAGTATTTACATATAAAATGAAACATCATTATCAAAGTATATTTGATAAATATCCACACCATCAGAAATTCTATGCTATAATTCTACTTTGGTAATATAAACAGGAGATTTAAGGTAAAACATTTATTCCACCAGTTTGGCTGTTTGACCTATTTAGAAGGCTTTACTAGCTCTCACTTTGCTCATCTCTAAAAAAGGATACCTATCCATCTACAGGACTACCCTGAGAATTATATGAAATACAGTAGTATTTATTTATTCCTAAGCATTCTTAAAGGAATTTCATATTTTTATTTATTTATATATTTGGTACTGGTGATTGAACTCAGAACCATGTGCTTCTGAGGCAGGCAGCGGAACCACTGCGCTAAATCCCCAGCCCCTTCCTAAGCTTTTTTTTTGTTTGTTTGTTTTTTGTTTTTTGTTTTTTGTTTTTTGAGACAGGGTCTACTATGTAGTTGAGACTCACCTGAAACTCACTATGCAGCCCAGGCTGGTCTTGAACTCACAGCGATCCTCCTGCCTCATCCTCCTGAGTGCTGGGATTGCAGGAGTCTACCACCATGCCTGGCTTCCTAAGCACTTTTAAGTGTTTTGGAAACTGTGAACCATGTTATAGTTACTAGTGCTTCTGAAGTAGGACATTATGCACATTATGCAGTTTAGAAATTAAAACTTTAGTCCCTTTACTTTTATTTTTAATCTCAAATTTTTCAGCTTTCAACAGGAGCCAAAAAAGTCACTATTAAGATAATAGCATGTAGTCATTAATAGCTCCTAAGGTTCTGTGGCAGACACATGGGAAGGAGAACTGAGCCACCATGTAAGAACACAGTCAACTAACCCTTCACTGCAGCTTGTGAGGGCCCAAGCATGGTGCCCAAATAAGATGTGCCCAGGCTTTCGATTCAGGAACGGTGAGGTGATAAATGTGTTACTGGAAGTCATTGAGTGTCATGTACTGGTGCATGACATAATGGAAACAGATTGCAGATACTGCTACAGCTTGGTCCCCACGCTGCCCCAAGGCCCACGTATAAAAGCTGGGTGGCCAGCCCGCCACACTACGGGGGGTGTGCAGAAACCCTTCAGAGGGAATCACTAGGAGGCTATAGATCAGAAGGAGAGGATCCTTGGAGGGGCAGTGGGACCCTCTCTTCTGCAGGCCCAGAGGCACCAGGGTCAAGCCATTCTGGGCTAAAAACTCTGAACCACAAGCCAAAGTAATCCTTTACCCTCATTAGCTGATCATCTGGAATATGCTGTTGGAGTGACAAAAGGTTGATGAACACACATCTGTCAGGTCTAACCTTTTAACTGAAGGAAGTATTTACAGATAGTCTAGGCATCAGCCACTGTAACAATACCTTTAAGTTCATATTTCTGCTTCAACATCAACAAAGAATAAACAAGTAAAACAAATACGAAAAAAAAAAAAACAGCCAGGATCAAAATCTTTTTCCTATAAAGGATCAAAAAGTAAACTTTCTTAGCTTTGAGGTTGATACAGTCTCCACTGCAGCTATTCAGCATTGCCAATGTAGCATAAAAGCAGCCATAAAGAAGAATAAATGAAATGAGCACAGCTATGTTCCAATAAAATTGTATTTTTAAGAATAAAATATTTGGTGGGTAAAGTTAGTCACTGAGTCACAGTGTGCTGACTCCTGAGTAAGACTGTTGATTTAAACTCAACTCTATCAATAATCATGGGGGCCAGAGATTTTGCTCAGTGGAACTGCTCCTGCCTTGCAAGCACAAAGTCCTGAGTTTGATCCTGATACAAATAATAACAACAACAACAACTATAAATGGACCAAACACCCTCAATTAAAGGCAGAGACTCGGACTACTACTCAGCAATAAAAAGGAACAAGTTACTAAAACATGTAACAACCTGCAGGGAAGTAAAAAGGACAGATAGGGCTACCCCAAACTGTAAAACTTCACAGCAAAGGAAAAAAACAGAGTGAAAAGGCAAATGAGAGAATGGGAGAAAATAATATTTGCAAATCATATATCTGATAAAGGACTGATATCCAGGAATATGAAGAATTCCTACAACTTGGGGCTGGAGTGTGGCTCAGTAGCAGAGTACTTGTCTAGCATGTCCAAGAGCCTTGGGTTTGATCCCCAACACAGCAAAAAGTCTTATACATCAATAATAAAAAGCAACCTGAGCAGCCGGGCATGGTGGCGCACGCCTATACTCCCAGCACTCGGGAGGCTGAGGCAGGAGGATTGCTGTGAGTTTGAAACCAGCCTGGGCTACACAGTGAGTTCCAGGTCAGTCTCAACTATATAGTGAGACCCTGTTTCAGAAAACCAAAAAACCAACAACAAAAAAAAAGCAATCTGAGGGGGCTGGGGATTTAGCTCAGTGGTTCTGCTGCCTACCTCATAAATGGAAGGCAACCTGACTAAAATTCGGGCAGAGAATGTGAACAGACATTTCTCTAAAGACAATATATGAATGGCTAACAAGTATATGGAATCATGGTCAACTTCACTAATCATGAGGGAGATGCAGCTCAAAACCGTGAGATATCCTACCTATGGAAAAGAAAGAAGAAAGGGGGAGGGAGGGAGGGGAGAGAGAAAAGGTGAGAGTACAATTGAGTGTGCACACACAAGGATAAGAATACTTGGAATTCCTTCATGTTGTCAATGAGATGGTAAAACAGCGTAGCTACAATGGAAACTGTATGAATATTCCTCAAAATTTAGAAAGAGTTACAGTAAGATTCAGAAATCCAGAATGTCCAGAAGAATTAACAACAGAACCTCAAAGATACACTACTTGCATACCCACATCCAACACATTATTCCCAACACACAAGAGGTGGAAGCAGCATAAATGTCCACTGACGATGAGCAAAGACAATGTGGTTTATATATAATGGAATATTATTCATCCCTCAAAAAAGAAAGTCCTGTCATGCTATAGCACGAATAAACCCTGAGGACAATATACAAAGTGAAACAAGCCAGACACTAAGAGACAAAGACTGTGTCCATCCACTTACTGAGTGGATTCCACTTACTGAGCCACTAAAATACTCAAAACTCAGAAAGTAACTTGATGGTTGTCAAGGGCGGGTGATGTGGAAAGGAAGAGTTGTTCAAAGGGTTCAGAGTTTCAATGTGCAAAACAGAAAAGCTCCAGAGAGTTGCAATGTGCACACAGTTACCGTGTAATGGACACCTGAAAATGGTTAAGATGTAGATGCACGTGTACTTGGTAGAGCACAGACTTAGCATGCACACGCCCAGGGTTTCATCCTCAACACCCTCCAAAAAAGTTACAGGGTCAAAATTTCTGTGTTTCTTACCACATACACACACACAAAAGTCAGACAGGACTGGGAATACAGCTCAGTGATGGAGCAAGTGTCTTGCATTTCTGAGGCCCAGGGTTTGATCATCAGAACCTCAAAGAAACAAAACAAAACAAAAAACTAAAGATACCGCATAAAACAAAAGGGTTAATTTATCAAAAAGATGTAATTTTACACACCAATGTACATGACATCAGAGGTGCAAAAGACACAACATAAAATATGACAAAGCTAAAAGAAAAAACAAACCATTCCACAATTACAATTAAGAGATGTCAACATTCCTTTTTGGTTATAAAAATAGTTGACAGAGAATCAGCAATGATATAACAGAATAGAACATGATTAAGTAGGGACATTTACAGAACACTTCCTGCCCAGCAACAGCAGAATACCCATTCTTTTCTAGTGCACATAGCACAGAGCAGATAAACCACATCTAAGTCAATAAACAATGCTTCACAAATTAGACGACATTAACAATGCAAAGCCTGGTCTCTAACCAAAAAGGAATTAAACCAGAAGTAATAAAAGATAACAACATAGGAGAATGTGCCTATAGCCCTGAAAAAACAAGCAGGACCTGTCAATTATAAAATCCGAGGACAGCACCAAATAATTCTGGGGACCACATATGTAGAACTTCTCAAAGCATCCCATGAGATGTGGACTACAAATAAGGACACAGATGCCAGGAGGAGCCCCCTATTGTGACTCTTCACAGTAGCCTACACTGTGTATCATAGACACACGGTGTACTTTTTTTTTTTTTGGTCCTTTTCTCTCTTGTTTGGCCCAAGTTTACTCTGCAGAGTCAGTTTTTCTCTCAACCCTTCACCCCTCACTTTTCAAATAAACTTTTGGCACTGTTTTTGGCCTGTTTCATCCAATTCTTTGTTCAAGGCAAGAAGAACCTGGAATAAGTTTAACTGGCAAGCCATTTCTAAAGGAGCTACTCAACAACACTAGCAGTCAGTGGC